GAAGGGAATGAATAGAGTTATTAGAGAAGACTGTTTCGCTTCGTCCACTAACAAAGGTGTTCCTGACAACAAGTATGGGTTACCTTGCCGCCCCTAACGAGCAGTTGTCAAAGGATCCATGCCCTCATAAGCTTCAATTCCAATTTCCAAATTCAGTACCATGTATAACACCTGCACAAGCTGATTTTTGGAAAGAAATGGGTTTGCAAAAGGACTATGAACCAGCGGGAAAGGACGTGGCAAAAACTTTTGCAGCTATGCCCCACCTCACTGAGATCTTCAATGATCACTGGCACGAGACCAAAATACTTCAAAGTGGCAATTCAAATTTTTGTCTCACTCATCTGCGCAACATAAAACTGCTTTACACAAATCATTTCTCTTGATACTACATCGACATTTTCGGAATACCGTATCTGTCGTTATTGTGATTAATCTTTAGAAGGTTAATTCTGGAATGAAAAAAGGGAAAGTTTGTATATATACTTGTTTTCTTTTTTTCTTTCCAAAATAAGTCTTTTAACGGCTGATAACAGTGAGGAAAAATAAAAAGAAGAAATCTCGGTTTTTACCTAGCTTACACAAAAGCGAATAATGATTTAGAAGTAAATTTAAACAGCTGAGAACGGTCCTCGGTTGCTCATATGAAGAGGAAAAAATTTTAAATCCTTCCGGTTAAAATTTTCCGGAGACTTGCTAGCCGTTTTGCAATATGCAGTTAAAGTTGAGTAAAATAATTCAAGATTCGTCGGAGTAAACTGGTAGATGACAGGAATACATTGTACGGAGTATGTTGTAACTCAAAAATATTGGCATTACAACTTTGGTAACTGGATCAACCACTGCAGAATAGGCAGAAGTTATCACTGACATGACTAAATTTTTTTTGTTTATTGCGCTTTATGTGCTAACTGTTGATTTGTTCAATAATATCAACAAATGAGTTCCAGATTCCGGGATTCAGTTCTTAAAAACAAATCAGATAATAAGTTTTTCCTTTTCATTGACAGAATAAAAGGAAGTCAGCTTTAAATGAGTTTGAAAGTTCATTTGTGCCGAGATATCGCTGTTGTAAACCAGTATTATCGAATATTATTTAACAATTTATTATTGAATTATTGGAATGATTACCAAAAAAAAAAGTTTAGTAAAAAACTGAAAAAAGCGTTTTGACAAACTTACGTACCATCGTGTTTAAAAAACGGAAATATTACGAGAATTTAGCGGAAGTGGAAAAACGGCTGAAAGAAAAGAATATCTTTTTTTACTGAATCATTTCCGCCCCTGAAAAGGACCGAAGAGATGACATAATGGAACTGTTTTGACACTGTGGTTGTGCTTACTGATACAGAAACTAAACTAAAAATTTTTTTTGGCTGGTACTTGGCGAAGTGACGATAATTAGAATAAAGCCTTTTATAATATATCAATAAACAGCTGAAAGAATACCTTGCCTCCGTTCATATTTTTTACTTTTTTCTTTTATTTAAAATATAATATTTAAAAATACTTGAAAAAATAAAAGCAAAATAATTTTTTTTTTTTT